AAGTGTATAAGTCAGTTAGAGGAAAAAATGAATTTCTTGCTGGACTTGTAACCAATTTTTCCAGCAAGTTAAAGAACATCCCTGGACTCTGGGGAACTTTGCTAGAACTTCGGATGTTGTAACATTGAACTTTGAATCGAAACTGCACCAGACACGATCTACATTAATGGTACAGTGTATCGCCTTATAACTTCGGGAACACTCTTCTTCACAGAGAACAATTTTATTCTCTGTGAAGAAGGTAAATAATAATCTAAAAAGTAACAAATCTATATAAAAATATAAATATTGTAAAAACTGTGCGGAATTATTTTTCTGTGAGGTACTAAAATTTTCTATAGATGTCATCCTAGGGTTCCCTAGTATGAATTGGAGAATCATCAATTACTTTTTCCAAATTCAAAAATATGTAAATTCCTACAAAAAACTTTCAAAAATTCTATTTCCCATTTGTATCTCTTTCACGACAAATTTTCAAGTTTCACATCTAAGATGAACCTAAAAGACAGTAAGAATTCCCTAGATTAGCATCGCGAATGGAAGGTTACTAAAAATAGAAAAAGAGACAAATTTGTGCCAAAAATATTAATAAACATTGACTTCAAAAAATTCTACTGTCAAATTAAATATCTTCTATAACAAATCCAATAGTACTATACCCAAGATCACCCTAAGAAAAATCCAAAATCCCCTAGATTAACGTCACGAATCGAAGACTAATAAAAATAAAAAAGCAAATAAATTTTTATCACAAATATTACTAAATAACAACCTTATAAAATTGTACTGCCAATTAAAAATCTTCCACGACAAATCCAATAGTACCACACCTAATATCACCCTCCTAAGACGTCAAGAATCCCCTAGATTCACGTTTCCAATCAAAGACTACTAAAAATAAAAAAGCAAATAAATTTTTGTCAAAAATATTATAAAATAACAACCTTAAAAAATTGTACTGCCTAATTAAAAGTCTTCCACGACAAATCCAATAGTACCACACCCAATATCACCCTCCTAAGATGCCAAGAATCCCCTAGATTTACGTCGCGAATCAAAGACTAATAAAAATAAAAAGGCAAATAAATTTTTGTCGAAAATATCATTAAATAACGACTTTAAAAAATTGTACTACCCAATTAAAAATCTTCCACGACATATCCAATAGTACCACACCCAATATAACCCTCCTAAAAGACACCAAGAATTCCCTAGATTCCTCCTCAAGATTCGCGTCACGAATCAATGACCGATGAACCGTTCTTCCCACCTTATTTCATAGAGCAAACGAATTATTTCAACTAAACTCCGCGTTTCCTCCCCGATTCATCTTCGTTTCCCCATAAAAGCTGTGGTGGAAGTCGCGTGGTCGTGGATCGTCCTTTAAGATCCCCACTTCCGGCTGGCTGCTGCGGGTCTAGCATTGAAATATTGGCCGTGATCGGCACTCGCGAGCCGGATAACGAACGAGACTGGAATGGATTATCGATCGGTCCATATTTCAGCGGCCGGTTAAATTGATAATGAAATCGCTGTCGGTTTACCGTGCCTTCCCCTCGCGCCGACCAATGACGGCAGTCATCCTGCATCCTATGCCTATGTCGAATTTCCATTGTGACTTTCCGCCGCGAGCCGGCCGCTCTTTCATTCGCAATGGAATTCTGTTAATCCCCGTTTCGATACTTTATCCAACGATTTTTCACGGAAAATCTATAGCCTGTTCGCTATAATTCCGAAAATGCCGGATAGGCAGGTATTGCTGCAGCTAATTCGATACCGATGCATGTTTCCTGCCTCGTGATGGAAATGCAGATGATGGAACGTGTAATTGTTGAGATTCATGGGATGAGTGGAATTTTTCGTCGGATGTCGATGGTTTATAATATTTGGAATATTTTAACATGTTACATTTCATAAACTTTTATAGATTAGATACTAATTTGTAGATAAAATTAATTATGGCAGTGTTTATTAAATTATTGTGGACAATTGTGGACAGTATTTATATATATTATTTCATTTTCGATTGGAATGTATAATTTATTTGTTATTTTATTTATTAAGTAAAAGATGTAAAGAGTTTCTTCCAATTTCCGTGTAAAATATATCGATTTTATATGATTACTCATCTTCTGGGATTATATTTCCTTTGTTACTCTATTTTGTTGATTTAACTCCTTGACTCCGGCAGATTTTGATACGTAGTGGCCGTATTATACGGCAGGAATTGAGTTACGATGTACGTCATTTTTGTGAAAACAAGCGCCCTCCGTGTCAGAAAACTAAACTACGCCGAGCGCCTATAGGCGACCTGTGTGTTACAAACGTACAATTTCTAAGCACCTATAGGCGCTCTTCATGTCACAAACGCAAAATTTCTAAGAGCCTATAGGCGTCCTCCGTGTCACAAATGCAAAATTTCCAAGCGCCTATAGGCGCCCTCTGTGTCACAAACGCAAAATTTCCAAGCGTCCATAGGCGCCCACAGTAGTCCAGGGGTTAAGTTTAAGTTTGGATAGATTGAAGTTCTACAAATATTAAGAAATCACAGTTGTGCTAATATCTGTAAATATGGACTCCTAGAACTGAAAATTTCGTTAAAATTCTTGGCCAAACCAGGACAAATTTCTTCAAACGACTTCAAACGACTTCAAACGACTCCAAGTGCCTTGTAGCAACATCAAATGACTCGAGAAATGATTCTCAACGTCATCAAATGACATCAAATAATACCAAACAATATCCAACGACATCAAATACGCTACCAAACAGTTCCAAATTATATCTAATTATCCAAATGACATCTAGTAACACTGGAAATATAAAAATTCGGCATCCAACGTCTAATAAACAACATGAAACGATATCCTAGGATTTCAAATACTCTCGAACACGTACCAACAAGGAACCATACCGTACACTGAATTCCAGCATAATCACGTCTGTGGAAAAATTATGGTACTTGGTGACTAATGCGATTACGGATTGACTGGCAGTGGGATTTGAATATCACCGCGCATAAATTAGCGTCTGCTGCCAGTGGCGACCGCACTGCTCGTCCAACAGTGAATTACTGGCAGAGATTTCACAGATCATTCGAAACAAGGCAACCTTGTCAGGGTATCATGTAGCAAATTAATCTTCCTGCGAAAAATATCCATTTCTGATTCTTCAAAAGAAGAACATCGAAACTTCTAACAGTATTAGTACTATCTTCAGAGAGTATGTGAAATTTCGATACGTGTTGATGACGATTGCACGATATTTTAGTTATCAGTATAGAGAAGAGGTCCACTGGTGATACGTGGGATGATACAAACTTAATCAACCAATTTTCGCAAGAATTTTTAAAAGTACCCAAATCTAGAAGCATTTAAACCCTGTAACACCTGACTACTTAACATAAAAATAGTATTATTGATCATTTTCTTCCTAGATTATCAAATAAAATAATTAGAAAGACAATTATTTATAAATGATATGCTTTCAATGTTCTGTACAATTTTATTAAATAATGGGCGTTCGAAAATTTATTTAATTTCATTTATTTTATTAATTTGTCTCATAACACACATTCGAAAACCATCCAAAATCATCGAAAATTACAGTATTATACCATCAAACACTTGTCAACATCCTCACACTTAAAACAAGTTAGCAACCTTATTGAATCCATCAAACCAACTACGGATACTCCGAATCACTCTGAAGAGTAATTAAACAAACAATTAACAACAAATAATATTCTCTTGATGCACTGTACAATTTTATTAAATATTTCATTCATAATATTAATTCATCCCCATGTGTGTAAGACGAAAACCATCGAAAATTCCAGTATCACATCATCAAACATTTTTCAACATCCTCGCACCTAAAATGAGTCAATAATTAAGTCCATCAAGTCAATCATGGATACTTCGAGTCACTCTGAAGAACAATTAAACAAATAATATTCTCTTGATGTACTGTACAATTTTATTAAATATTTAATTAATTTTATTAATTCATCCCCATGTGTGTAAGTCGAAAACCATCGAAAATTCTAGTATCATATGAGCAAACATTCTTCAACATCCTCACACCTAAAATGAGTCAACAATTAAGTCCATCAAGTCAACCACGAATACTTCGAGTGACTTGTAGGAATACATCCCTTGATAGGACTAAGAGAAGCTTAGGTATTTCTACTTGTAATAGACATCGAGGATCCCGAGTCAAAGGGGGCCCAGTTAACACGTTAAACGCTACACCGGTGTGACGTATCGTTCCGTTCACGTCAGTTAGCCATCATGCGGGCCCTTTCGGGCCGTACGGACCAGTGTGGCCTGAACGGAAAGTCTAGAGTAGTAAAAGTCGGTCCCTAGGGTAGTAAAAGTATTTGGCCGTCGGCTAAAGTCGTCGTTCGACTGTTCGCGTTCATTTCTGGCTGTCAATTATAGTTATAGTGGCTGTCAACGCTCGTACCTTAATGTCTTTACGACCAGTACCCCATGACTCAAGGACCACCTCAAATACTTGGACTAGCCTCTGAAGGAACCAGTTCTTCAGAGCTTTTCCAAGACTAGACACCTTGTTCCCTGTACCAAGCCTTGCATAAATAAACCCTTTCCATTAACACGAAATAGTGCCCTGATTTCTTAACAACCCACGACATGTCTCCAAACTCTCAAGAGTCTGTCAATTTCTCGTTCCAAGTATCACGCAGACTCGTTCAAGTAGAGGACGCAAATACTCGCGAAACTCGAGCCAGCTCGAAGTTCATAGTTCACACCGAATCACGGGTCGAAGACGCGTAGTTGGAAAACTGAAATAAACACGCGGTACGAGTTCCCAATCAGTCTTTGTGGAAGCCAGCGACTCGCGACTAAACTCGAATCTCAGAGGTGTGGTATAGCTGGCAAACAGCCCGGACTTATTAGATATACTCGCGCGAGAATGCCACGTCGGCGACATTCAAAAGAACTTGCTGTAACATTTTTCAGGCCTTTCACAATTCTCGACGAGTTTCCCAGAAGAAGGTGGAGCATCTTGGCCTGACTCTCGACTCGAAACGAGGCTTCGCCGTGGTAAGTGAAACTCTTTCACGAGACCGGGAGACAATCTATCTTGGGGTCCGAGTGATTACTATAAAGGATCTTTCGAATTAATCGAATTGGATTAATTAAGTGATAAATCTAATTTTCTGGAAATAGGAGAGGAGAAATGTCGAGAGAGAAGGAATGCTGAGCCTCTCCGAGAGATCGAGAAGCCTCACAGGAGCTAGCTAATCCAGTGTTAGACCTAATAGCGTGCTATTGTACTGATAGCGTTCTTCGTGCCAATTAGGATCACGTACGTCACTGTTCCAATTTTTATTTTTACCGTTTCGGAAATTTACTGACCTTTTGGTCACGTAGGTGTTCAATTTCAGTGTTAGACTAGGTCTTTCACTTCGGTGATGGTTTATGTCATATCGTGATCACATAATTCAGTTAGGCAATTGTCAAAGACATGTCTGATTATTGTTAATATTGGAATAGATCTTGAATCCATCTGGAATTGACCTAAAAATTTTAAGAATCTTCGTTAAAGTACAATAGTAGCTGTCTAACATTAGACTTAATAGTTTCCTGTTATTTCTTGTTTGAGTGTTAGTTTATGTTATACTGTAGTATGGTTGGGTAATTTGCTTTCTCAATTTTCAAAAGACTTTTGAATTATTAATAGAGGAATTCATATAGGTGTGAACGTGATCCATTACCAACCACTCTAATGGCAGTTCGTGTGCACACTGAAATCCAGGTTAAAGGTACCCAAGAAGCTTTCCAATCTTTAATAGCTATTCGCTATTTGATATTGGATCTAAAAGTGTTCCACTATTTCCTGCCACTATGCTGTTTTATGGTCATATAATTTACTTGCTCACTCTCCAAAAATTTTCTGTACCCTTACTAACATAGGAATTCACAGACAAGACTCGAGGTGTCTACTATAATCTACATATATGATATATAGTGTCTACTGTAATCGCATAAGTGACTTTTCCAATTTTAATTTATATTTTCTTCAAATCTCGAATGCTCGTTGTTTGAGCATTCTCTGGCCTCGTTAAGAACCTCCTACCTAACTTTCTAAGTCTAATCTCATAGATTTAGAGCTTCAGAAGTGTCTAAAAACATCAAACCTAACTCTCTGAGTTACATCTCATGGATCTAGAACCTCAGAAGTGTCTAAAAACCTCAAACCTAAGTCTCCAAGTCTCAGTTCATACATTTTGAACCTCAGAAGTGTTTAAAAGCCTCATATCTAACTCCCCAAGTCTTATTTCATAGATGTAAAACTTCAGAAGTGTCTATAAGCCTCATACCTAACTCTCGAAGTCTCATCTCATAGCTCTAGAAATTGGAAAGCTCTAAATACCTCATACCTGACCCTCCAAATCCCATTTCACAAATCTGGAACCTCAGAAGTGTCTAGAAGCTTCACACCTAACACCCCAAGTCTCATTTCATAGATGTAAAACTTTAAAAATGTCAAAAATCCTTATACCTAACTCCCCAAGTCTCATCTCACAGACCTAGAACTTCAGAAGTGTCCAAAAATCTCATATCTAACTCTCCAAGTCACTCACAGATCTCACTACCCAAAATCACACGTGAATTCACAGAAGTGCCTGTCCAAGGAACATCATCTTCCACGTCTCATTCTCTTCAGAGAATTCGTACTCGTGTGCACGCCCGATCAGGAACAGGCAGCAGCCTTCCTTCAGACGAAGTCGCGATAAGATTTCCACGTAGCTGTTCGATGTTTCCACCAGAATAATTTTCAAAACAACGAATAAAGCCTAGCCGATAACGCTGCTGGCAGATATCAGTGGCATTCCCTCGCGACGAAGTGTGTTAAAATTGATTCCTCCGGGAGAAGAGAGGCTTCTCCTCGGGTTCTAGACAGAGAGACAGGGAACAGCGACGCGTGAGGGAACCGAGAGAGCTGGGTGATCCGATTTTGATACGATTTCTATTCCATTCGAGGAAAATCGGGATTCCTCGACGTCACGGATTCCCCTTGTCGATCGTACTCTTCCACTCGCGTATTTCTCGCGGCTTTATCCGTACCAACTTCCAACGACAAACTTCATCCCTAAGTACCTGCAATTTTTTACACTCCTCCAGCGCGTCCAGAGAGCCTGCCAACGTGATTTTTCAGATATTTCATTGAGCTTGTTGGATCCTTCCCTTTTCCGACATAGTTCGTTGAGCATCCTTCGTGATATCAGAAGGGTGTCATTTTTCGTGGTACATGTAGAATATATTTTTCTTGGTAGCTTCCAATTTTATTTTGCAATTATGTGGTAAAATCGAAATTAAGGAGTCTCCAGAAGGCAACGAGCTAGGAATTTGATAATTCTGAGGATAAGCTATGCACTTGATTGCTTTGAATATTGAACAAAAGTAAGTACCTGGGTTTAAAAGCTCACAGAATGTTCAGGAAGTGACACATAAATCATGAGCTTTTGAAAATTCAAGATGGAAAATTAATTAAGGAAGGTAAGGAATTAAGGAATTAGAAAATCCTAAATTTTGGGAATAATATTAATATTTGCTCGTGTTGAACAAAAATAAGTATCAGGGCTTAAAAGCTCACAGAATGTTCAGGGAATGACACATAAATTCTGAGTTTCGGAAATTCATTAAGAAAGGTAAGAAATTAATAAAGAATGGAGCAAAGACTGCTCAAAGAACTGGACAATCCTAAAATCTGAGAATAATATCAATATTTGCTCACATCGAATAAAAATAAGTATCAAGATTTAGAAGCTCACAGAATGTTCAAAAAGTGACACATAAATTCTGAGCTTTTGAAGATTCGAGATTGAAAAATTAATCAAGGAAGATAAGGAATTAAAGGACTAAACAATCTCAAATTCTGAGAGTAATACATGTATTTGTTCATATTGAATAGAAATAAGTACCAGGGCTTAGAAGCTCACAGAATGTTCAAGAAGTGACACATAAATTCTGAGCTTTTGAAAGATTCAAGATGGAAAATTATTTAGGAAAGGTAAGAAATTAAAGAAGAATCGAGCAAAGACTGCTCAAAGAGCCGGACAATCCTAAATTCTCAGAATAATATTAATATTCGTTCACATTGAACAAAAATAAGTATCACCACAAAATGTTCAAGAAGTGACACATAATTCTGAGCTTCGGAGGATTCGAGATGGAAAATTAATTAAGGAAGATAAGGTTTTAAATAACTGAACAATCCTAAATTCTAAGAATAATATATATATATTTGTTCATATTGAATAAAAATATGTACCTGGGCTTAAAAGCTCACAGACTGTTCAAGAAGTGCCACATAAATCTTGAGCCTTTGAAGATTCTAGATGGAAAATTAATTAAGAAAGATAATGAATCAAAGGACCGTAGAATCCTAAAAACTCAATAGAGACCTGACACTTTGTAATCCTTTAAGCCTTCTGAAGAACCAACAACAAATATTAACCAAACCTACGAATGACTACAAACTCTTGCGAGTCATCCAAAGAATCCCTCAGAGAACTTGCTACAAACCCACCTGAAGCCCTAAAGAACCAGACTCCATGGCAAGAGTAGCTGAAGCCGGCATCTGGCAAAGAATCGTCCACAACAAATATTAACCAAACCTACAAACGACTACAAAATCTTCCAAGAGTTAGCCAAAGAATCCCTCAGAGAATTCGCAACGAGCCGCCTGGAATTCCAAAAGAGCCGCACCCCATCTCAAACATGCTCACCTCTAACTCCGAATCCCTAACAACCTCGTAGCCCGCCCAATTAGAGACTGCGAGAGAAAAGCCAGGGCAAAAATGCCGAAAACCCTAGGTTTTTCTGAAACGGATCCCCTGGTAACTTCGCGGAGGAGCCATCTCGCGCGCAGTTCACTTTTGCCGAGGAACCAGCCGCTTTCAGGACTCCTTCTGTATACCATGTGCACGCAAAGATACACCACACGTGGCAGACAGGCTTTCTTTCCCTCTGGACGAACAAACGAGCGCGGAGGGCCGAGTCAGATAGCGGAATTACGCCCCTGGCACTAACGATGCCTCTTTTGACAGACACCTAGCGCTGTCCCTCTTCCGCTCATTCAGCGGCTGTCGCTCCGTCTCTGTTCCACCGCTAAATACTCGTACACCACGAGTGTCTAACTGGAACAAAAGTTTCCACGCACACCGTCAACTACCACGGTCGAGATAACGTGTAAGTCCGGCTGCACAGGCTGGAATAAGGGGTGTGCAGGGTGGAGGAGTTTCTTTAAGAGACGAGGAGCGAGCAGACTGGATGGACTATGGGGAGAGGGTGGATGCATGTTGGCTGAGACACTTGGAGCTGCAACTTAATGCATAAAGACAGATGTAGTTTCGAAGAGAGAGATAGGCTTTACCACTCTCTAGTAACTATGGGAGTCGAAGGTTTCATGGTGTACGTAGGGAGCAAGTGGGGGTTGGTCGAATGTGTAGAATTTGGGTCTGTTGGAAGTCAGCTATGCCCATGCAACGATGAGGACAGGCCTGTTATAGGTTGCAGGGCAATATCGACCTTTGGACTTCAAGGGGTCGGTTTTGGGGGTTTAAAAGGACCTGCTGTCCCTCGGAGCTTTTCACTCTCAGATCAGCAACAGTACGGATATCTCATATATTGTGGCCCACAGTGGCATTAAAAAAGACTATAGTATTTCTTTTGTATATTGCATAAAGTGTATAAATTTCACGTATATTAAACCCTCATAAACACAATTGCTGTATAACTGAATACAGTTACTTCCCTGCACGTTAATCATTTGGCTATTTCCTTCACGAAATTCCCAACAGGGTCCACTGGAGTTCCAACGAATGGGGTATGTTTGGAATATGAGTTTTAGGTATGGTACCCTATTTCAACGAATTCCTTAGAATTAGGGTTGTGACTGGAAGATTGGTTAATCAAGGAAAATAAATTTGATGTCAGTGATGTTGCTTTGGGCCTAGTAACTAATTTAGTTATCTTTTAAATTTGAGTTATTTCCTTTTCTACTTGTTCTTTATAGATACTGATAAATTCTGTGTTTATTTACTAAAGTAAATATATAATTAACAATATAACCTGTCATTTTTAGAGGTTATGTTATTACTATTGTTGCTATTACTCCTGCATCAAGAATAATCTAACTAATTTAGTTATGTTACTAGTTCTAGTGGATTTTATATAAACACTATTTACGGGTGGAAGAACACGATGATTTTTTCATGTTTGGGTCTAGAAGTTGATTATGTTGTATGTTTAAATTGATGACATAAGGGTTGTGCTTAGGGGATGATGCGTGTTTGATGGAATATGATGAATTCAGGCTGTTATTAAGTCAGTTTAGTAGAAGGTGGGACAGGTTGACAGGCTTGGGCCTTGAAATTGATTCAACAGATTCTACAGCTGTATTGTACATAGGGGTCCTGACTAGGGGATGATGTATGATCTACAATTAATTCAATTACAGGAAGTACGTGAATAATAAAATTAAATATCTAGTGCTAGAGGGGGTAAATTCCTATTATTAACCCTTTGCACTCGAAAGCAAATTTATTAAAATTTATTAAAATTAATTAATATTAATATATTAATTAATATATCAAATTTAAAATAATATAACAGTATACGAGGTATCGAAATTAAATAATTCTACGTGTTAATTATTATACGATTTCTTATTTACTGCTCAAAAAATATCTCAGAAAAGCAACGTTATAGCAGAAAATTTTTCAACTCGCACCCTTCTTTATCCAAAAAATCATCGAGCGCAAAGGGTTGATAATAAAAAATTAAATCCCATTAAAATTTCTCGACACTTTCCTTCGCCCAAATAAAATTATGAAATTTCTTTTTCAACCTCCTAAAGAAGCGAAG